CACGGGGAAGCACAGCGCCGGTCACCTACTGGGGGCAACTGTGACCGAAGCAGCTGCGGCGCTCGAGGTTTCCTTTTCTCTTGGTGGACGTTGCTGGGTTTACTTTTTTTTTTTTAAATTGTAATTTATTTTTTTTTGCTCATGCGTGTTGAACAGAGCCCTAATTCAGGAAGAGGGGGATTTGAGAAATGTTAGTATTCGTCATTGCATTAAAACAGTTTTTGCTTGGCTGCCAGTTTTATCACAAAACTATAAAAATGGAAATATGTGGAACTGCGCATTGTCATATGCAGCACTGGAGCTGCACGCAACTTTCTGTGCTTGTGGGTCACAAGCATATGGTAAAGGTTGCTTTGAAAACTGTAGCATGAAACAGAGCCATTGTCCATAATTATATTGTTTTGTTTTTGTCTGTGCTGTTATTGCTGTCCTTTAAGTAACACTGTGGAAGACAACCTATCCCGTATTTGCAGACTAACAGACTGCAGTCAATATTTAAAATAAGGGGTTGCGAGAAAGGTGTTCAGCTCTGACCTGTCAGGCTCAGCATAGGAAGGTTGTAGAATGCTGTATATCACATCACCAGATTGATAGCATGAACAAAATCTTCTGGAAATGTGTTTAATTTCCCAATTTTACTAAGAAAAAATAGGTAGTTTCTGAAAATAAGAGATCATACATTTAGTCCTATGATGTCAAACCTCATGGAAATATAAGACTATTGTAAATATCTTTAATTAAAATGGTATAAGGAAGGTTGTAGAATGCTGTATATCACATCACCAGATTGATAGCATGAACAAAATCTTCTGGAAATGTGTTTAATTTCCCAATTTTACTAAGAAAAAATAGGTAGTTTCTGAAAATAAGAGATCATACATTTAGTCCTATGATGTCAAACCTCATGGAAATATAAGACTATTGTAAATATCTTTAATTAAAATGGTATACAAAAGCTACATAACTGTGTGAACAAGCATATCCCTTAAATACAATCGCTGTCTTTTGTAGGAGAAAACTGACATAGAAGGGACCTTATTTGTGTACAAAAGGTAAGGTTGGGGGGG